TTGATTGCCGGGAATGAGGCAACGAAGTGCCGAATTGGTGACCCAGATGTGCAATCCTGCCTTCCATAACCCTTTTGATTGCTAAGGATAAGGCATAAAATGCTGAATTTATGCCCATTCTTGCAATCCCGCCCCTTATATGTCCTTTTTGATTGCTGAGTAAGGCACATGCGGAGTGTCGAATTGGTTTAGGCTATACTGTTTTCATACCATTTTTCATGTATTCTCCTGAACCTTTCTGCCTTCCCAACCTCTTTCCTGCCTATTGGCGGTAGTACACCAAAGCATAACTTTCTATTTCTTTCCTATATATTATTCTACTTTAGTATACTACGAAATCTATACCCTAGTTTTTGCCCCTGCACTTCTCGAGCTCTTTTCTGTATAGTTACTACTCCGGAATACTTTGGGGTACTACTGCGGATATATTTTCAGATATTTGCTTCCTAGAATCAGAAATACTACCATTTTCGTCTTTCCAGACTCAGAGGTGCCCGCAACTCCTAGTCTAAATGGTTGTTTAGAAGCGAATAGATTCTGTTTTTTCGAAGGTATAGTTTCATCTAATTTGCATAGTTCATAATATTCCATAGTATTTTGAAAAGTAGGATTAATTATCAAGAAATATATTTTCTTGACCACAATGGTAAATTTATTGTATTTAATCTCATTAGGCTGGAAGATGATCCCCTTGCAATCTGCCTAAGGTCTGACACTCCACTGATCTTGCAAAAGGAGATAGAGGCTAGGCAGAAGCACAAGGAAAAAAGTACCTCAGCTAATGAATAGAATCTGACTTTATAGATATTAGCTTTTTTTTTATAATTATAAAAAATTGGAATGGGAGAACCAGTTATTTATATCGATCCTCAGAAAGCACGAGAGCTAGACCAAATCATAGCAAAACAAACACCTACAATTAATATTGATCATCAAAAAGCTCATTATTTAGACCAGCATCTTGCTTTGCAAAGATTATATTATTATCCTGAGGGTCTTTATCAAAATGTTAAGGGATT